TACAAACCAGTCTTATTATCTGGTGCGATCTAGAGCTAGTGTCATTAAGGGCAGTCTCGCCTACTTGTCTTTGACCTATCATATATAGAATACCAAAAAAATTAGCTACCATCACATCCCTATACCAATTCATGCTTAAGTCTTTACTTACTGTCGCAAATATTTATTAAGCGCCTTAAATGATGATCATCGTCTGCCGCCTCTTCCACTAATTTTTCAACCACTGTTCCTTTCTGCAATCAAGGAGTTAAAATTGAAGTAAGTACTGAAGGGGGATGCTACTCAAATCCAACATATTACAGCTACTTTTAGCGAAAATTTTGACACCTCTGGATCATCTAACAACTTGAGATTGCGGCCAGACTCTGAATTCAATAAGTCCTTGACATTCTCATTGTAGATTTCTAGGCCAGAAATTTTTATTCTGAAGTCTCGTTCAGGAGTCTGTAATATTGTTAAAATTACATGAGAAGATCAACAATAGAATATTATCCCGCAAAAACTTAAGAAGATAGAATGATAATTATCCATTTCAACAATATTAACCTTGTTTTGATTTGTACTCTCTTGTCGAATTAAGAAATGAAAGTAAAAAGATTTAAATACAAGGAGAATGTGTGGAATATGACCACCAGTTAGATGAAAACTGAAAAACTGTCATCTATCTACTGATATATTTTGCTAGTATCTTGTTATTATCTCTAGAAAAACTAGAAATTATCTTGTTGCATTGAAAGCTATTCGCTGGTGTAAAATTATTCATCTCTATATTCACCTAATGACTCAAATCCTTAATTTTTTTCCAATTGTCTTCCAGCTCTAAACTTAAGGAAGAGCAATTTAAGAGAAGGGTAAATCAGATTCTAAAAGCTTACATTCATTATGTGTGTATATATATCATTAACAGCTTTCTCTGTAATTCCTCTCATCGTGTAAGTTTTTCCACTACTAGTTTGGCCGTATGCAAATATGGTTGCTGCAAACAAAAAAATAAAAATCAGCATAAAATGTTTGAGAACTAAAATAAAAAAACACGTAAACCGTTTTAATCATTTTCAGAAATTTAGGATAACAATTACCATTGATTCCCATGAGAGCAGATAAAGCTACATTCTTTACTCCATCCTCATATACTGTTTCGGTTATAGAGTCAGGACCAAAGACTTTATCTGAAACGAACACATATTTTTCCAACTAAGTTTCTTGGGCATCTAAACTATATGTGAAATAAAGATTGTTGATAAGCATAATTTAGTTACCAAATGTGAATGAGCTCTGTTGAGCTGCCCGCTCGCGTTGGGAAGGTTTATATACAATTGTGTGATCATCAATGCACTCCCACGCGACATGGTCTTTGGCAGATTGTTCCCTTTTGTTCAACGGCCTTAATCTTACAGTCACCGTGATTTTCTCTTCCCTCGGTCTGTTCCCGCCTGGAGTGGCTACCTGCATCTTGTCTATTTTTGTAGCCGGCGTGCCGGGTGTTTTAAC